AAAAAAAAAAAAATTACAAACCCAAAACAAAACGATCCAAAACAAAAAATAAAACTCAAGACAACAATGAACAGAAGAGAAACACCTAAACCATATAAAAAGCTACACACCAAACATTACAAACACCAAGTAACAATAACAAAAAGACATTTAAAACGGTAGTAACACCAGAACGATGACCACATCCTGTTGCGAATATGAAAACCGGTCCACTGTTCAAATTGACATTTTCTCATGTTTGGCAGCAAATTGGATTTGATACTCGAAATTAAATGTTCTTAATTCTTTCTATGATTTGTTGTAGAAGAGAGAGTTTTGAATTTCTAATGATGGGGTACCTCTTCTAATTTTCTAAGACTAGTCAATAGGAAAGTTCTATGGCTAGACCTAGGCTACTAAAGAAGTTTTCTAGACCTCAACCAAAAGTGAGGTCAACACTTCGACATTGGTAACTTTCCAGGTTCTTCTTCTGGTGTGCATCGGCTTGAAGCTCTAGGGTAGAGAGAGAGAATGAGAGGAGGGAATGAGAGAGAGAGATTATTCTTTCTTGTAATACTCAAAAAATAAAATCCTCTACAGCTCTGTGACGTAGGTAGTTTGTCGAACCATGTAAATCTGTGTGTTTCCCATGTATTTTCTGTTTTGTGAATTTTTCTCATTCCAATTTTTCGCCTTATTGTCGTTGCTTTTCACAACAACTTAAAGCAAGCCTTGGTTCGGATCCAAGGAAGAACGATGGGCAGAGACAGAGTGATGACATTGGGGATCGAGAAGTTCAATGACAAGGCTTTTGGTTACTGGATGATGCAGATAGAGGACTACCTCTATGGGAAGAAACTTCATCTTCTGTTATTGGGAAATAAGCTGGAAAAGTTGGACGAGGCGAAATGAAATTTGTTGGATCGATAGGTTCTAGGGGTTAAACGATTAACCTTATCAAGATCTATTGCCCACAACGTCATTAAGGAAAATACTACTGCAGATCTCATGACGGCTTTATCAAGTATGTTTGAAAAGTCATCGGCGAATAACAAGGTGCTCTTGATGAAAAATTTATTCAACTTGAGGATAGCAGAAGGTGTATATGTTGCTCTACACCCGATTGAATTCAATACTATCACAAATTAATTTTCATCTGTTGAAATTGATTTTAATGATGAGATACGTGAGTTGATATTGTTGGTTTCATTGTCAAATAGCTGGGAAGCCATGAGGATGACATTTAAAAGTTCCACAGGTAAATCCAAAATGAAATATGATGATATTTGTGATTTGATTTTGGCTGAGAAAGTGCGTAGAAAAAATTTTGGCGAGACCTCGGGTTCGAGTTCGGCACTGATTGTTGATTCCAGAGGGAGATCAACATGAACTCAAACAAAGGAATATCAAAATCAAAGTTTGGTTAGCAGACAACCTGCACTGCTGGAATTGTTGCAAGGCTGACTACATAAAAAGAAGCTGCAAGAATCCTAAGAAAAAAGAGAATAATAACGCATGAAGCTGCAAGAATCCTAAGAAAAAAGAGAATAATAGCGCATATGTTGTAACTGAAGAAATACGGGATGCACTATTGCTAGCATTTCACAGTTCTGTTGATGACTGAATATTAGATTCATGGGCTTCCTTTCATACATATTTCCACCGGGAGTTGATGTGAAACTATATTGCAGGTAACTTTGGGAAGGTATATCTGGCTAATGGAAAAGCTTTGGAAGTGATGGGATGAGAGATGTTGATATTGAGCTCCCTAACAAGAGAAAATGGACTTTGCAAAAAGTCAGACACGTTCCTGAGTTGAAGAAAAACTTCATTTCTGTTGGGCAACTCAAAGATGACGGTCATTCGGTAGTGTTCTCAAATAGCACCTGGGAGGTTACCGAAGGAGCATTAGTACTGGCTCGGGGGAAGAAAACTGACACATTATGTATTATACAGGTTTACTCAGGCGTGGACACATAAACCAGATGTGCATTATAGGTAAGCAGAAGAAAGTTTCTGAAAAATGGCAGAGCGCTAAAGGCAGGAAAACTGAATCTTGTACGGACAGACGGTGGAGAACCCGCAGAGCTATGAAGAAATCTTGCAAGATAAAAATTCGAGCAAGTGGGAGCTGACAAAACTTCCACTAATGAAGAAGACATTGCACAACAAGTGAGTGTACCGGGTGAAGACTGCACTTAATGACAGTAAAAGGTACAAGACATAACTTGTTGAAAAAGGCTCTCAGTAGAGGCGGTATATTGCCCATGTGCCCATGCAGTGGGAGTTTGAAGCAGATACATGAGTAACCCAGGAAGAGCTTGAAGGTACAATGTTGTATTGACGCTGATGTGTCTACTGAGGGTGTTAATCTTGAGAAACTGAAGTCGTGTGCAGCTTCAGTTGGTCTTCTAGCTTGAAGACAAGAGTTTTAAGTTACAGAGGTGGATGATATCATGTTTGAGGAAAAGGGCGATATAGTCAATGGATGGTGTAGTCAGTGAACCAATCTTTAAATGAGAGATTTGTTGCAAATATGGAAATCGGTCCACTGTTCAAATTGACATTTTCTCAAGTTTGGCAGCAAATTGGATTTGATACTCAAAATTAATTGCTCTTAATTATTTATATGATTTGTTGCATAAGAGAAAAAGAAATAATTAATGGGCTTCATTAATTATTTGATTAATTCCTTAATGGGTTTAATGACATGATGAAATTAATAAATAAACATGCTAGCTCCTCTAGTTATCTCTCTTTGACATTGATAGTTTTCCAGGTTCTTTTTCTGGTGTGCTGCGGTTTGAAGCTCTCAGGTAGAGAGAGAGAAAAGGAGAAGGAAAGAGAGAGAGATTGTTCTTTCTTGTAATCCTCGAGTAATAAAATCCTCTGTAGTTCCATGAACGTAATTAGTTTGTCGAACCACATAAATCTGTGTGTTTCTCCAGTGTTTTTTGTCATGTGAAATTTTCTCGATCCAATTTTTTCGTTTTATTGTCGTCGTTTATCACAACACAAACAGAAGTCGCGGCCAAATCGTAGAGCAACAACATCTTCAAGCAAAGCATTAACCAATCAACCATCAAATAACAGCTTACCAATCAGCATTTTTTATGATCATCATAAAAGAAAAACAACAGCAACCACATAACCTACAAAATCAAAACAAACAAAACCTAAAACAAAATAAAACCTTTTTAACTAAAAAAAAAAAAAAAAAAGGTTTATCGTGTTTCACGTGGAGAGGAAATAAGCTATTCCAATTTCCTCACGTGCAAAATGCTTGCTTCTTCAAACTCTTCATGATAACTTGACTGACTGAGAACAAAAAGTAATTAAATATAAAAGATTATACGATAACCCTACTCTGCACATCAAGTGATTCCAGAAAACGTTAATGGCGTTCTCTAATTCGGGTCACAAAGACGCGCTCAGCGAGCTTGCATGGGGCCAGAAAGTCAAGGAGAGCCTACGTTCTCTTCTCCACTTATTGCCGCCCGGCGGCGATTTTTTATTATTATTGATTTGTGTCCAAATGGTTGCCACGATAAAAGAATAAATTATGGTCTTAAAATTGCACCAAAACTCAACACGCCCTCAATCAAGTTACAAGAAGTAAGCATGGATTAGGAGACGCCTCGATTTTTTACATGAAAAATCCTGAAAGAGAAAAAAACATGGGGTCAATCCCATTTAATGCATTATGAATGGTGAGTACACAGGTCTATTCTTCTACTGAATTAGGAAAGATGTAATTACAAATATGATCATTGCGATCATTGTGATAATTGTGATGGTTTTTTTAATTATTATTTTCATTAACAAAAAGAAATGATATTGTTAACAACAGCCTCGTGTGCACCGCATGCTGATGGATTAGTGGGGTGAGTGAGTCAAGCTGACTTGTGAGCCGGATTGAGTTTGGCTCAATAAGTGTCTCTTGAAATAAGCTCGATTGTCTTGTTAAATAAGCTCGATGAACTAGGTAGCCTCGACTCGATTCATTAGCTTGTGAGCTGGCTCGTTTAAAAAATATTAATATTAAATATACTCAAAATATATTAAATTTCAAGACATTATTTTTAAGGTA